GCAAGGGACGGCCTGCGTGCTGCTGTCGGCTTTGCTCCGTGCCCCTGGTTCCCCATCTGCACAGGAAGGTCTGAATGCGATGCCAGCCTCATCTGGAAAATGCTCTGCCAAAGACTAATGTTGTGGAGCAGGACGAGTTAGAGACTAATGCTATAAAGCCAGAGTTGCTCAAATAAATAAAACAGTTGTGCTCCCCATCCCTCTGTGAGCTGAGTCTGTATCTGAAGTCTTTCGTTTGAAAAACTATGGATGTTTCCGCCACTAGGAGGTGGTAGGTAGGGATCTAAAATCCTGGCCAGGCACGGTGCTGGCAATGGGTGCAATGCCAGGTAAGCAGGCTCTGCAGTCACTGGGTGCTTACGGAGGCACCGCGGTGGCCAGGGACTGTCTGGAAAAGGAGCTGGCCTCGTGCAAATAGATGCTCCAGGGCCTGGAAATGGTGGAAAGGACCTAGGGACCTTACCAGTTTCACTATATAAAACAAACCTTTCACAATACATTGGGTGCAAGGTACCTAAAGCAAGGTGGGTTTGTTTCCCATAGTGTAACATAGGCTGCAAAATGCCCTTTGCTTGGTGTAGGTTCACTATGATTTTTAACCTGAAAAACGCCTCTTTACAAGTGTTTCTCCTATTTTATCTATCACAAAACCAAAGAAGCAGTATAGGATCCTCTAGCAGAAGTTTCTAGGGTTTTCCCCGATGGGAAGGAGCTTCCCTGTCCTCCAAGGTCCTTCTTGTCGCAGCCCATTCCCTGCAGACGTGTCTGAAACACAGGACGGGGCTGCCCCTTGTCCCTGCTCCACCTCTGAGCTGCCGCTCGCGGACGGCGAACAGAGCCAGGCCAGGCTGCAGCCGGCCCGGGCTCCAGCTCCAGGCTGCACACTGTTCAACAAATTACAGAGCTCTGTAGAGCGCTCCGAGTCAGCCCTGGTTCACGTAGCCAAGGAAGACTCTTTGGCTGAAGTTTCCTTGGGCAGAGCTCCCATTTCCTTTTCTTTTCTTTATTTTTTATTTTATTTCTGTTCTTTCATTGCAATTTCTTCAGTATGAAAGGATAATTTTCTCTTAATCTCTCAGATTATTTTTGGAGCACGACCTGGCTCCCCTTAGGCTGTGGCTCCCCTCAGGGTATCCCCCTGGTTCTGCAGAGGTGGATGTCTCTGGATTTATTTTGATGCCTATAATGCCCGTGTAAGATATTTTCTATAGGCATTTTCAACAGGGATTGTATTTTTCTGTTACTTCTTTCTGGTGTCATCACTGAGGACGGAGGCAGACCACAAGGCGCAAGGTCCCCTTCCACCGCTGGCTGCTCGCTGGCTGTGGCTGCTCCGGATCGTGGGCCTCCCCCCGGCCATAGCCAGGCTTTCGCTGCACACGCAGACGTGGGGCAGCACCAGGCTCCCAACAGCTGCCCTTAACTCCCTTCTCACCTACCCTCAGCATGGTTTCTTCTTCCCCTCCCTCTTCCCTCAGACTCTGACCGGCTGCCAGGGATCCCTGAGGCCTCGGCTTCCGGGCGCAGCTACCGCCGCCGTTGGGAGCAACGTCCTTCTGTTCGGGGCTTCCTCGCCGGGCAGCCGCAGGCCTCCTCCCCACACACAGCCCCACGGTGGACTCGCAACAAGACCCGGCTACGTTTTCATCCCAGACTGGCTCTGAGAAACAAGCTGAGCTCTTCGGTAGCCTCCTCGAGAACTCTCTTTATTGGTACCAGTTTTCTGATGAGCAGCACTTGCCTCGCAACAGCCTGTTCAGAGTTTTGTTTCAGAACTTACAGCTCTATCAGCCATCAGTGGCCTAATAAAGCTATGCAGCCTTCAGTTCTCATGAACTTTCTGCTTGTTTTCTTCCTGTCTTTCTCTCACCTTGACACTTGTGTGCACCTCCAGGGACCATTCACACAGTTATGTGTCTCTCCGATTAATACTAATACTTCCCTGTGTGAAAACTCAATGCTAAAAACGGAGTTGTGACTCACATGTGCAGTAACGTTTTAAGTCCTCTACTACTGATTACTTAGTGCCAAACCAGCTCCCAGATTTTCCAGTGTCAACTGTGCAGAACAAGTGCGGTGTTATCCAATTCCCTGATTTCTTCTCCAGCACTAGACAGAACAAACCCTGTACACTCCGTTAATCAGTGGTGTCCTGCCTCTACCACCACAGCTTAATTCTTTCACCTGATTTAATGCCTCCTTCGTTCTCCTCTGCTTTGTGGTCCATTTCTTATCGCACTGGTCGGGCTGAGGGTTTGTGTACTGCCCACATCCAGAGTAACTTGCAGCCCTGCAAAATGGTGGGTAAGGACCAAGAGGCTCAGTCATTTGCAGAGGACATCAGGTGAATCAAAGGCGACCAAAATTCTGCATCTTATTTATTTGAGCAGTGCAGCTTGAAGAGCAAAATAGTGCCTCTAACTAGGAACTAGTTTCCTAGGAACTAGTGCCTCTAACAAGGAACTAGGAAATCCTCCCAAAATGTTCCTTTTGTTTCTCATCCTTTATAAAAAGTTGTGTCCTAGCATTGAGGACAGACTTGGATGAAGACACAGCAAGTTCACTGACCATATTGGCTAAGCCTGGATTGCATATTCCACTTTTTCTCTGCATCTCTAAGGCAATAAAAATTTGCTAAGAGCCTCTGGTACCCAGGATGAGGGGTAAGGATGTTCCAGGCAACCCAGACACATTTCCGTATCTCAGACGTATTCTCTCATCTGGTTGCTCTGCGCATCCCGCATTAAAGCTGATCACTGCTTTCTTGAGAGGAATTGTTGGCCCAGGAGCGTGTTCCTGTCACAGCTGACGTGCCTCAAGCTGAGAGGGTGTGCAGTTTCACTAATCACCTGACTAAGCAAAAGTGCTTTTATTAGTGTGTGCGGACGATACCGCACCATTGCTCAGAGACTGCAGCAGACATGAGCTGCTCAGACCCTTTCTCGAGGCCTCTCCTGCTCCGAGGTACTGCCGCTCGAGTGGTTAACTAGCAAACTTCATCCTCCCTCACCTGAAAGCTGTCTCAAGGCTGCTCTTTTATATCGGAACCATGATGACAGAGGGTATTTCCTCCTGCTTCCTGTATGCTTCAAAAGAAGTGTTCACAAGATGAATGGAATATAATAATTAGCAACTCCAATATGCTTCACCGTGAGCTCCACAGTCAAACACTCCATTACTTTTTATTTTGCTTTTCAAAAATGCACAAGATGTGTTTTGTGAAGGTCTTTCTAGCTTCAAGGAGCAAGACCTCAGGCGGTGTACAAAGAAGCCCCCTGAGGCAGCTAAGCAGGCTTATGTTACTGACACCAGAGAAAGCCTTGATAATCTCGAACACAAATATTTTCTAAATTAAACCGACTGGATGATTATACTGCAATATTGCCCCTCATTGCAAAATCAGCTACAAGGGAATCAGATTGAGCCATGCATCTCTTTTTTTAGGCTGCTTTTAACTTATTCTGTTACTTTGGCAGTATACTTGGTACCATTACCTGTAGTAGTCTTCCAAGTGAAGCAGTACCACAAGCACGTGGCGTTATGGCTTGTGTGAAGCCTTCTCAGCGCATATGACCTACCAAAGATAGACCCTCCTTTTGTCTTTTCCCTCAATTTTCTACGCACAGACAGTACACTCGTTCAGAATTCCTGTACATAACCCTAATCATAGAGGAAATAAGTTCCCAGATAAGTTCAGCTGCATTTCAAAGGGCTAGTGCCTGTAAACAGCACAGAAACATGCACACGTGAAGGCTATTCCTTCCCCACAGTGTCACAAAGCAGCATCCTGTGTAGAGGCAGGACGCTACCAGGTAAGTGGCCCCTGCAGTGATGGAGGTTGTTACAGTAACTAAAAGTCTAGAGCGAGTAGAACCTTCAGCTGGTACACTTGTTGTCCAGTCATGAAACAAGCTATGGAAAAACAAGTCACTAAAAAAAAAAAAAAAATACCAAATCATATGTATGTAGAAAGCAAGAATAGTTTGTAAGAGGGAACTGAATGCATTTCTTTTAGAAACAGATTTTATTACTTGCGATTTGAGATTTCCTTGGCTGTTAATCTCCATTTTAGACTAAGCAGCTAGTGAAAGGTTTATCTAACAATTAAAGGAATGTTCACCTCAGCTTGAAAAGAAAAGGTCTGGGGTTAAAAACAGTGTAACACAATGTTACTACACTGCCCATTAGTTGTAGCAAGTAGCATATATTCTTCATGGCACAATGTGAAAACCCAGCTCTTGACTGTGGTACTTACAGACACAGTCTTTAAAATACACTCAAGCACTAAATAATTTTGTTTGTTTGTTTTAAAGAGCTGAAGAGTAGGACTTACAGTACTCTGGCAGTGAGTTGCAGTGTGGAAAGTCACCTCAGGAGTTTCTCACTCCTATGCCATGCAAGGTAGAGACAATATCGCCACACTTCAGTGGAAAAGGAGGAGGAAAAGGAGGAGTGTTCACACATCTTAACAGATTACGTGGTGAAAACAGTTGCTTTGCTTAAACTTTAAGGTGTTAAAGGTTAATGATGAAAGAATAGCTGCAAGAGGTTGCTGTTGCTCCTCAAATCCTAAAATACAATTTCTGGAGCAGTATGGCTGGGATCTCCTGCCCTGAGGCAACCAACTTACAGTGGAGATGCAACAACAAACACAATTCATTTTAAGTAGTACAGCTGCATTACAATTTTATGAAAGACAGTGGAGGAATTAAATAGAAAGTCACATACTCATTTTAGCACAGAACAAAGTTCATCCTGGAGTCCCTTACTTAGAGTGCTAAGCTAAGTTCTAAACCTACCTGAGCAAAGAGCAGTGGCAGTACTCATTCCTTTTCAATTCCACCTTCACAGAACAGCTGTCACACAAACCCCATAAATAGCAAGTTCTTATACTCACAAGACCCTTCTTCAAGGTCACTAGCAACCAACCACATGGAAGCTACAAAGAATTCCATACACACATGAATTTTTATTTTAATAAATAAAGTTTTACACGCTCAGGCTTTGTTTTTTTCTTTAAATCACATATACAGAACAGAAACTGTGCCTGATCAATTACATGAATTAAACTATTAACCTTGGGAAGGAATGCACACCTTCTGTAACACCGAAGACCTTAACTGGAAAGGGACTTCTCAAGGGCAGCATAGCAATTTACTTCACAGATTAGACAATTTGAGAAAGACGTGGCCAAAGCTAAGAGAGTGACCCTAAGCGGACCACTTGTCTTTATAGCACCACAACAGTGCAAGGCAAGCCAAGAGCCCTCCACCTTCTAGTGTCACTTCTGGATGAGTATGTATGTCTTCATGTCCTCTGAGCAATGAACCATGAGTGGAGAGGCTAAGCACAGCAGGTATGCAAAATTATTCCATTGATAAACAGATATTGGATGACACAGTAATGTTATACTTCAAGATTTTAAATCAGCAGGTGCTTTTGCATCCCTTCAGTATGGCAGTGGAACAGAGCCCACCTTCTTTCCTAGAGGTTTAGTCCAAAAACTTCCTGTTGGCATTAGCACCAAAGAGTGCCACTCTGATTTCTGGCATCATCTGTTAAGAGAGAGTAAATCTGAGCTGTATTTAATGTGCAATACAACTGTTGCACATTCTATTGCATGTGATAACTGTGTGATAACTAGGTTAGCGTTCAAAATTGACATGGCAAAGTTGCATTTGTGATAAAAAAAACACAGGCGATAGTTTCCTTTCTTTCTAAAAAACTTCTTGACATGCATGTTGAAATCTGACCCCACATGGTATTGGGACTGTTGCTACACTGGCAACAGCAGCATTTAACTGTAAGACAGCACTAAATAATTATTTCTCGTTTACCTTCGTCAGGAGTCAAACTCACCTGCTGGGCTACAAGATCCAGGCGACTTTCCAGGGTATTGGAAACCTTAATTTTGCCATCACTGTTAAAGATTTCAACGCCTCCAGCACTAGAAAGGAAATAAGAAAATAAAAGAAACGACAAGCATAATACATCTCAAAGCCATAGTGTAACAGAGACATTATCCTAAATCCCTTCTTAAGGGAACATCATATATACATATATATATATATGTATATGTTAGAACCCTTTTTTTTTTTTTTTTTTAAATAAAGGACATCTTAGTAAGATGGTACAAAGAGATACAGTGAAGCAGTACTGCAAAGCATCCTTAGAAGTTATTAGAGACCACAGCTGCATAAAAAGGTCCTTATTAACATGTTCAAAATACAAGTGGAGCTACAAAATTTGTCATTACAAAAGAAAACTTCAGACTTGGAGGTTTCAAATTTTCAGAAATGAAAAATTTCCAGCAAGATGTTTTGTTTCCTCACACATAAAAGAAAAGATAGAACAAAGGTATCTATTCTAAAAGTAACTATGTTCTTCATTATACTACATGGGAATAAAGCCTTGCAGATCTAGTGGCATAAACCTCATGCAGTGAACATGGTGTTAAACACCATATATTCCTCCTTATGACTTGAACACATAGCTACATCTGTCTTCTCCCGCTCTAAAATTCCAGTAGTTAAAGGTTTCTACCTACAGTTGTTCACTGTCTGCTTCATTATGTGAAACAGGCTTGTTTCACATTAACTCACATAACAGGTTGCACAAAACCTGTACTGACGTTGTGACAGAGGGTACTTGTCTATAGGAAGCTGCAGAATCTGCAGAATTCACACGAAGTGCCAAACTGTGCTAGACATTTTATGTGATTATTCCATACATGATTTTCTGCAACTTCCAGAATAGCAGCCCTTGCCTTAAAAAGAGGCATTAAGTTAGTGCTCTGTATAAAAGACTTTCATTTTCCTTACATGTCCTCTGGCAGAAAGTTGTCTTGGTCAATGTGAACATCCACATCTCTCTTTGTGGCGTTTTTGTAGATGGGAATGCTCTTCTGTACAGCAGCCTAAGATACAAAATAAACATCTAATTCAGTGCTGATGCATTATTTACTGAACAATTTTTTATTCTCAATATTGTCGTAATGTCTAAAACTTCCTAGGTAATAATCAAACAGGTAAGTGATCCCCAACTTGAAGAGCATACTTGTCCTCTTCCACTGTATTTGCAGCAAAAGTCCTTTATTCATTTACATATCACACAGATAGGATTTGGGCAGGAAATATTTGCAATGATTTTCGGCACTCAGTGTATGGATATTTTCATTTTATTCTAAGTATCTTACCTTAACCATGGGGAGATCCTGTTTCCTGCACCGAACAGCTATTCTGGGCTCAAGCAGCTGATAGAATCCCTGCACAAGATAACCGTTACAGTATCAGAAAATTCGTATTTTCATCGTCTTTGGATTGTTTAACCCCAAGAAAGGACAGGAGCTGACCGAACGGATAACTGAAGAGTGCCACCACTACCCTCTTTTGTTTAGTAAAGGTGCTCTAGTTCTTTGGTTAGGTGTTCACCTTACAGAGACATTCAGAGATACCACCAAAACCTGGGAAACCCAAAAGAACCTATAATTACATATGATGCATTTCCTGCACTAGCTACAAACCTGGAGCTCAAGCATAGATCTTAGGAGTGAATTGCCCACGTTACATACACATATACATAACGACCGCTGCTTTGTAACTCAACTGAGCAAAATGCCAAACTGACATTCTCTAAAACAGCCCTTAATTAAGGCACACAGTTATTTTCATGTGTCTGTTCTAATAACCCCTCTCTTGCAGCTGCTGGGGTAACACATAAGCACTGAAAGAGGAGCTGATCCCTTATTGCATCAGATCTAATGAGCCATGACAGATGGGTCCAGCTTGCAAGGATCAGACAGGTTTGTTTGATGCACAGCAACACTGCAGGCCAGACCTAAATATGGCAATGAAACAACAGTACTGAATTTGAAAACAAGCTGGGAGGGAGCACTATTAAAAATTCTCTGCCATCAAACTGAAGGGGGTAGAGCTCGTGCCCTATTTGTATGTGGTCCCAAGAAAAAGGACTAATTCACACCAGAAGGTGGCTCCAGCGGGCACAAAACCCACAAAGTGCAGTAAGATTCCGGCCAACATTTAAGTTTGGGGACTAGAAGATGGTACTCCAAGTCCATGTAAAGCCTTGTTCTGTGTTTTCTATGTCTATCGCAAATGTATGCTGTACTACAGTGAGTTTTGTCAAAGCCGGGACTTGTAAGTCTCAAATGCTTGAAAGTTTTTAAAAGCAGAAGACCACCAACTTCTATGTTAGGAGAAACAGCTTTTAACAAAGATATGTATGAGAAGCTCTTTGTACTGCTTATTATAGAAGCCTAAAGTGTTCTCATTTTGTCTTGTTTGTGCATGTTGCAATGTATGCAATTGTTCTTATATCAAAAGCCAAACTGCTTTTTATACCAAGTTTTGTACCCAAAGTAACAGCCACAGACTTCCTTGTGCAAATTCCAACTGAGCGGTGTATAAAATTAACCTCCCCAGGAATATTTGATCGAGACTTCATACAATAACTGTAACCACTAGAGTTGGTTGACAACTAAGGACAGATGCTTAGGAGGCCAAGGCTTCTATCAACTATTTGTTACGATTTAAATATTTACCTGTAGAACGAGTCCATCCAGCAGTGTTTGGTACCTGGCAGTATCCTTCACCACCTTGGCAAGTCTCTGCTTGGCCTCATTCAGCAAATCCTATACTCAGAAGAAATCAGATCAGTAGAGCCCATCTGGTTGGCATTTGGTTTCATGCCTACCAACTTTCTGTACTCCTAGCATGGCTATCACACCCTGCCAACACGTAAGGGTACGCTCCAGCTGGTGCTCATCCAAGCTAGACCTTAATCTATGTGCACAACAATATCTCTTCTGAAAGTTCCCCCCTCATCTTGGTTTGAGACCATTGTAACAAGACAATAATCCCTTCTTCCATGGAAAAGTGAGAGCTCAGTAGTAAAGGCCTAGTATTTATAAAACTATTTCAGATGGACAAAATAAATATCTTGTAAATCTTTGCCTAACAAAGTTGCCTGAATAACTGATTTTCCAGCTTTGTGATCAAAGACATCTAGCCCGTCTTTATATCCAAACCATTCTGTTTAGGCATTTTATTTTTAAATCTAAGTAAATGTAAATGAACACCTAAATGTGAAAGGTTAGTTTTAACTTCAAATACCTTTAATTTGAATATCTTTATTCAGGAAATCTGTATGAGTTTTGAAGAAATTTTATTCAACTCAAACATAACTCCCAGAACTGAACTATTATCACATCTTCTTCAGACAAAACAATAGCATTATTTGGTTAAAAAAAAAAAGTTTATTTAAAAAAAAAAAGTAATTATTTATAGAAAAAAAAGGGAATTATAATCCTACTTTTTTTTTTTTTTTAAAAAAAAAAAACATAAATAAAAAAAAAAAAAAAATTTTTTTTTAAAAAAAAAAAAAAAAAAAAAAAAAAAAGTATTAGCTGCCCTGCCTCCAGATGACTAAGAGGAGAGGACACGTTAACAGAATCAGTACTTAAATGCAAGAGTACCACTGATCCACATCACTGTCAAATCTGGCAATATTGTCCTTCCTGGAGTAACATGGCATTTCTGGAAATGCTCTTCTCTTGTTCATGAAGGAGGCTAAAGATCTGATAAGGGAAAAATGAGCGTGCAGCATGTGACTTAAAGTGTTTTAAAATGAGGAAGAGTGTTATGCATTATTCAGAACGCATGAGGTTGAGTCAGCTGATAAATGAGGAAGAGACTACCCAGCAGAGACTATCGCAACAGAGTGAACACTCTAGCCACCCACTTGCCTCCCCTCTACAAAAGCAAACCAAAAGAAATTAAACCAGATTTAAAGGAGCAATTAAGTGGCAAGTTCCTAGCCTTTTTTTTTCCCCAAAGGACATCGACATGAACAAAATAATCTTTTTTTTTTAAGTTTCATTTTTTCTCTGCTTCTCCAATAGCTCAACAGCACCATCTAGCTAGAACAGGGAACATTTACATTGCTTCTGAGATGGGACAAGGAAGCTGTAAAAGAGATCATGGAAAACTTGCAAGTGTATCATGAGCAAAATGGGAATATGCTGCATGCCATGTTAAACACAGTAACATTGAACATAGACTACATTTAGTCTGAACTGGTAAATGATCTCTCACCCCATACCTGTCACATGCAAGAATCAGAAATAACTTCAGAGGTACTAGTGACTGCTAATGGAAGTAGAACCAACTACTTTGTGATGTTTTAAGCCTACTTAAGCAGCTTAAGTGATGCCACGCTAGCTTTAATGCATAACTGTTACTTCAGGCAAACAGCACTTCAGTTCTACACACTGTTATGCAAAAGAGAGTTCCTGATCTTTGAGGAAATAAACTATTGCCCAAATTGCAAGTATAACTGCTACTTGCCACACTGCTGGCAGGGAGCTGTATTTGCCTAAAAGAACAGGACATTGAAACAGAGGATGGGCTGAAGTTGATTAAAAAGATGGCCAATATTTAACAAAGTTTCAGAGCGGCTGGGAAAGCTATTTTTGTGTATTGAAGCAAATTGCTCGACCATAAACCATATTTTTGTTTGGAGAGTGGTAAGACCAAGATTCCTAACACACAGCAGGAAAAAAAAAAATCTCCGTATCTTTAATTCAGAGATACTTACTGCAATAAGGTCATCCCTTGCCTTTAGGACTCTCAGTCTTGCCTGATTCATTAGGTTGGACATCTGACTGCAATATGCATGGGAAAGTTGAATCAATCCACCAAACTCTGAACACTGGTATTAGAATTACTATGTTTAACTGCACCCTTTGCATTTAAAGGTAACAATTCTACATATTTAATGGCAAGTCTGTTGACTTGTCTGAATTTGTTTCTGAACTTCCACAAATGATTACAAGGCAAAACCATCTCCTTCAATAAAGGCCCGCCAAAAACAAAACCTAACAGGATCGTTAGTCCCAAGGTGACACGCCAGTGCAGAGCTTTATACAGCAACGGCATATGGAATAGCATATTCTTTCACCAGACCTCTTAGCAGTTATACTATTGTAACTCCTCTTTAATAGTTCCCCCAGAAATATTAAAAATAAAATTAGTAGCCAATTATTAGCTACAATTTGTCCACTTCCCAAGGAAAAGCAGTTTATTGTATAATCAGTTGCAAGCTGGTAGCTCAAGTTCTGAAGTTGACCATCTAACTTAAGCAACTTACATTTTCTTTTGCTGTTCAATTTGTTTCTCCTTCTTTTCATAATACTCCATGATCTTCAGCCTCTGTGTTTGAACAAGGCGACCCTTCTCAATGTTGAACTCTTCTTCTGCCTAGAGTAAAAATTAAATAACTGAGATGGAAATTGATTCCACAGGCTGAAACAAACAAACAAACAAAAAGAATCAAAATGAAATGGCTATGCTTTAACACATTCACAGATAAGATGGAATGAAAAAAATTCCTGGTTCTATATAAACAAAATATTTCAAGCCAGTATGTTTTTCCTAAAACCTTTGTGGCAAAGAAGCAATTTATTTTATCAGTGTCTGATGGGTCACGTTTCTCTTTGGGGTCCTCGTGCATATAATGATTGACTCTATATGTTATGCTAAAATGTTAGCATAGAGCTAAGAAACTAAATTCTCTTTTATCTGATCTTCAGGCCTGACTTTTATTTTATTTTTATTTTTTTTGTAGCCATAAAGGAGACAGAGTCTACACAAGTTCCTACCTAAAACAAGCTACTTAGTGTCGTTGAATTCCATGATTTTAAACAATGCTTAAGGAAGAAGAGTGATAGTGTAGGCATTACCTTTTAAGAAAGCCTAGCTATATAACATTTGAAAACACATGGGAAATTTTCATATTTATAACCGAGTATCCAATCTCAACTTCTGACTTGGAGATAGTCAAAAATACCTGCTTTAGACGCAATTAGATATTTGTCCAGAACAAAATGTTTATGGAAGATTAATACACACACATCCCGAGTCAAATACTAGTTAGTTTTTTTATATAATGCAAATTGGTAGGGTTGTAGGGCACAATTAATCCTCCTTTAGTAAACATCTGTATTCTATCACCACGTTCCTATTATGCTGATTCCCTTCTGAACTATCCCAAGTGAACAACTCTGCAAGTAATTCAACTCATGCCTTAATTTTAAATTTATGCTTTTCTTCCCTGTGATGCCCATTAATCATATCTAGAACTGAGTCTATGGGTACAGAAATTTAGATACAGCTACGAACTGGCTCACAGATCAGTGATGCAAAGTTATCTACTGGACATGGGGGAGGAGAGAGGGTCTTCCACTTCATCTACTGTATCACATGAACACTCAAATCTCATTTTACCCCTGCATATAGCTGCATACGAGTTCACATTTAAGCACTATAAAAGCTGACAAAAAGTAGCTTCAACTCATTTATCTTGATCTGTCAGAAGCTAATAAACACCCCATTTATTTAGTAGCATCATTTTGCTGGATAAAAAATTAAGCCCAAAGTTGTACCTTTCAGAAGTGTTATAGGGCGACTCTGCCTGCAGTTACCAAAATAGGACGGCAGATACAGCTCTCCTATTGCACCTACTGACATTGAACTACCATCTTTACCTTTGCATCTATTTCTTCAGCCTTTTCATTGGCTTCCTGCTCAATGAAAGCCATCATGTGCTTGATCTACAAGAAGAGAGAGAAAAGAAAACAGTTTCTATTGTGAAGGATTTCAATGAGAATTCATGGTTTCCTTTGTTCCACAAGAGGCTCCTCCAAACCTATTCCTTAATTCTTATAATAGTATTGCTTTCAAAGAAATTCAATTGAGTTTACAAGTCAAAAAATTACTTCAGTGTAGCACAGGCTGCAAGAAAGTCGATTTTTAATAATTCTGTACAATGCCATTTTACTGGATACCTTAAGAAGAATCTAATTAGAAGCACAACACAACTAGGCAAAATAAACTAAAGTCAGTTTGTACAAATGCAAGATTGAATTTCATTCTTTATTGAATGAGAACAGGAGTTTTTTATCCCCAGGAGTTTAAAAAAAAAATCCTCACATAACAAAATTAAGTAGTATAATTCTTACAACATTCACATGAAACATGGAAGATTAAATGTGCAGTCCCTGCTCTAAGCCAGGCCAGACAGTAGTTTAAATATCCTGGGCCTTCCATGCAAGATGAGTGTTTAAAGGAAAGAAAGGGGCCGCTGCTCCAACCTGGGCAGATGTGAACAAGTACCTTTTATAAGCAAGTGAAAGTTTTCTTGACACATGTAAAAACCTCTGTAGGAACCGACAAGGTCATGATCTTGTGACACAAACGTTCAATAAAACAAACACACAAACAACCTCCATTCTTCAGTTCAACTCTACGCGATTTCACAAAGTAGTTGCATACTTTTTGGAAGGGCTGGGGAATAAGAAGTCAGAGACAGATGTGCTATTTGATCAAGACCACATCAGGCATATCACATGCTGCTTTAAAGTGTAGTATGCATTAACACTTTATCCTTTAGTGGACCATAAGAGCCTACTGACTTTTTACTTATACTTAGGGAGGAGAAATATTTCTCAATCTGATCTGAACAAACTTGGATGAAAGATCCTATTTATATAGCCTCATGTTGAAATGAAGTATTTTAGAGAGAGAAAGGGGTGACAATGTGGAGATAACCCAGACACGCAGAGCAGTACCATGTCCACCTAAAAAACAGAAGTTAGCAAACAAGTAAAAGATTTTAAGCATATACAATGGATGAAGTAAATGAAAATATCTCCATTCTTAAGATCAAGTCAGAGATTCTTATTTAACTCCAGTTTGCAATATTTTTGTAAGTATGTCCACCTGCAATTTGAGCTTCTTACCCTGTTCATCTGATTAGATACCTGGTATATCCAAGCATGAGATCTACCTTTAGAAACCAGACAAGAAGCATTTTACAAATCATAAAAGAGGCCAATAAAATATGAGAATTTATTTTGTTGACTAGCTTAATGCTGAACTAAAGTTGTTTTTTGCTGTTTTTTGTTGTTTTATATATATATATATATATATATATATATATATATATAATTACAGCAGTCATCCTTATACTACTTTCCAGGTAGGTTCGTTTCTGAACTTTGGAAAAAAATACTTCAAGCAATTCCAGATGCTCAAGATATGTCCTCTGCATAAATTAGAGGAATAAGACATCAACAAAGTAATACGACATCCATTTTCCCATGCCTGTGTTGTAATAATAAACACCATCATTTCTTTTGTATTGAATGTTCTTCCTTCTTTTCACGGGAATGAGAAGAGCCCCTAAGTGAGACTTTCACATTTAAATACTTATTTTAATAAGGCAAGCAAAAGTATTTTTAAATGAGAGGCTAATTTCAAATGAAGTTAATACACTCTTTGCTGTGCAAAAGTTATGTACTAGCTTGATTGACCTTTCCATGGCAGGTTTCAGCTGTTAGAGTGGCTTTAACTAGAAATGACTAGCCAGATTACATACAAGAACCTGTAAGCCACTGTTACTGAAGAAAATAACCAAACCTATCAATGGGAAAAACTATATTTTAGTCAAATATAATTTCTAATGTGAAAATTATTGAAAGCACTAAGCAAGTGGTCACAGAGGATCATTTGCCAAGTCCACACTAGGATTTATACACAAGCAGAACTGAGCACGCTTATAAGCGATGTTCTCTTTTCCAGTTACCAGGTTCCTCGTAGCTTCAACATGGAAAAGCAATTATGGGAAGGTCACAGATGTGCATTTCTATTTGCATTATGTGTTTAGAGTACCTGTATACCCTAGCCTAGTACATGATCATTGAGTGAGACCACCCCAAAGTCCGCTTTATTGTTATAATCATCAAGGAAAAGAAAGGAAAAAAAAAAATTCTGCATTTGCAAATAAGGAACAGGAGAACATAATGTCACAAATCCTCTTGGAGAAAGGCAATCAACTGATTTTACTTTCAATGTGATGTTTCCTTGCCAAGAGACTATGTTTACTGAATGAGAAAGTGAGACACTAAGCACGGATGATGCAGAGGACATATGGAGCTTGACCAATCTGCCCATTGCCCACAACAAACTCCACTGACCAGCCTCCACTGGATTTGTGCAGTCTTTAACACTCTGCATCACCTTCAACCCAGCTCAGAGCAGCTTTTACAGGGAAAAACACTGTTTACTGTCAATAAGGACAGAATGTCCCAACTGGAGAAGGCATCACAGTCCAGGCTCTGGCCTTGTAGCTTTCCATTGCCAAAGAAACCAGGGTGCACTGTGCTGCTCAAGCAAAAGAAATGGGGGGGGAAAGGCATTCAAGATAGTTGAACAGCCTGTACAAATGTCATATTTATCCTTAAATATCCTTTAAATGGGCTTAAATGCCGCAGATTGCCTAAAGGCTATTCGTGATCTCTTTCATTACAGCCCGTCACGAGTTATTACCAAAACGCATGAGCAAAGTTCCTCCATGTGTAGCCACTAATGGAAAGAAAAATCAACTCCATCAGAAGCTGACTTTATTTCTCCCAAAGATTTCCAGCAAAGGCCTTTCCTCTTTCTCCTTGTCTTCATAAGGGAGTATGGCAGCAGACCCTCCTCAGCAGCCAATGCGGTAGTCAGCCACGGGATCTGCTCCCAGCAATGACTGCTGCTGGAAAGGAAGGCACTATCTCTCTGCCTCCAGCCAGGCCTCTTCCAAGGACAGCCCTGCCCACATCCTGGAAGCGGCCTCGAGGGAAGCTCTGCCGCCACCCCCGGAGCCTCCAGGTTCGGTTCGGTTCGGTTCCATCTCGTTGTCTCCCTCCCTCCCACGCATCCCCGGCCGGGCCTTGAGGAGCACACAGAGTCAGCAGCAGCCACCGCGCTGCCCGCTCCGGGGGCAGGCTCCCGCCCGGGCACGACCTCGCAAGCGGTACCTGCTTCTGGACGTCGGCATCGCTGAGCGCCATGATGACAGCGGCGGCGGCGGCTCGAGGACCGACCGTTGGGACCGTTGGCGACAGCGAGTGCAATCAAATCCGGTTCGGGTCACAGCTGTTGCTGCCGCCGCTGCGTCATCGCGCCCCGCCCCCTCCGCGCCTCCCGGCCAATAGGAACCCGGCCGGCGGCGGGGTCCGTTGGGCCTCGGGCCCGCAGGCCGCCATCTTGTGGCGGCGCAGGGTTCGGCTTGCACGGGTGGCCGCCGTTGTGGCAAGGCTGGCGTCAGGAGCGCTTTGAGGAGCGCTGAGTGTGAAAGAAGGAATAATTTTCCCCTGTTAGTTTTAAGGACTTTAGCTGGCACGGTGTGCCAAATTCTGAAAAGTTGCGTTTAGCTATTCAGGTTAAATGTGAAGAAAAATTTGCTCATAAGGCCTTAAAGGGGATGTTTTCTTAGCGACTTAGACTCCTCGTCACAGGAGACTGTGGTATCTCAAAGTCACATTTGGCTGTCAATTGTACATGGCTGCAAAATACTGTTTTTTTTTTCTTCATGTTTAGATTGGCAGCATGTGATGAAACTGCTTTTTTTAACACACAAATGAGATGAGGGGCAGCATTGAGGACGATGAAGAGTAAAGTACAAAGAGGAAACAGCAAGGGGAGGGGAAAAGTCTGGATAATAAAAGGGAGGTAGGAGGTCAAGGACTTTTAGGTGGAAACCATTTAGTCTTGTGATGAGCAACTCAGTTTGGTTTTGTACTTCTGTTTTTAACAGTTACAGCCCTAGCTTTTCATTACGGAAATAAACTGTGAGATGCAAAACCTATTTTTATTACCTTTTATCACTTTACAGTCACAAAATGCTTGGGTCTACTTTCAAACACCCAAAACCCCCAAACAAACAAAAGTGCACTGATTCTTCAAGAATGCTATTACCACTCATTGTTCCCCAACTGATTTGAATATTTTAAGTGGTCTTCACAACCTACAACATGATTGGCTCTTAACAAGAATCATCTTCCTCAGCGCTGCCTGTACTATTACCAGGGAAATTAAAACACATCACAGAGGAGTTTCTTGGGCGGTATTTGTCATGCCCGTGGGTTTTTTCCGGGCTTGTTTCTATTTATTTATTTGTTTTACCGGGGGAGTCTCGCACATGGCGGCGGCCCCTCCCGCCCCGCTCCCGCGTCACGTGCCGTTACGGGCAGCCACGCCCCCGCCGCCATGACAGCTACCGAGGCGGAAGCTGCTTCCGGCGGCGGCGGCGGCGGACGGGGGGGAAGTCACGTAGCGGCAGCGCCCTCCCCCCGGCTCCCGCCGCGCGGGGCGGGGCGGGGCGGTGACGCAGCGGCCGCGGCCGCCATGACGTGACGCCCGCTGCCGCTGCCCTCCTCCCCTCCCGCCCCTCCACCATGGCGGCGGCGGCGGCAAATTAGGGCAAGGCTCGCACCGCC